CTGATGTTATTTGCGCGATATAAAGCCAGGTTTAAGTTTCCGTAAGAGTATCAGTTTCCCGAGTGGAGCTGTATTAACCGGTCTTTTCCTCCGGCCGCAGCGCCGCTGGCAGAGGCAGACCAGCGAGGAGATGAGAGTCACAGAGGTACGTTAAAACACATGTATACACTTTTCTTCATCGTCTTGTATGAATTATTTTAATGTTACTTGCTCACTTTCCTAGTAAAGCTGTGCTAACCAGTATTTTCCTCCCGCAGTGCGCTGGCAGACCGGCGGGGAGACTCGTGAAGACGAAATAAAGCAGTAAGAGAACATTAAATTGTTAGGTCAACTTTAAAACACATGTAATCACCTTATTTGTTTTATACCAATGCTATCTGTAAGGTATAAATGCGTTTGGGTGAATAAATGTCTGTAAGAACATCGGATGGACTGTATTTGTGTCATTTTGTTAGGTTAATGCTTCAGCTACAGATGATGTGTTGCGCAATTGTTAATTGGGTTTCTTTCTTTAGTAATGGCATTCATTCTCGCTACATAAGATACCTGTCTGTTATGTAGTGCCCTGTTATACTGCATTACTGTGTAATATTTATGGTTTCTATAGCCGTGGCATCATTATGATGGTAAATAAACATAAAATTTCTCAAGAGCAATTTTTGAAGGGGACACAAATAATACAGCTAAAATTGTACTTGTAAGGATATGTATACACAGAGGAATGGCTTACTACTATTAGTGCAGCAGGGAGACCGTGCCCAATTAGACAACTTAAAGCTGTTGTGGTCATGCCGTGACAGCGCTCGTGTCCGTTGTAGACATTACTATCTGTCACAGTGTTGCCAAGTCCATGGTTTTCCTGTTGAATTGGGCTACTTTATCACTGTTGCCGTGGGTTGTTTTTCATGTCTGAAGGTTGAAGCGACCCCAATAATGTGTATTTTAGCCCCCGGAATGTGATTTTTACCGGGGGACCCCCTTTGAAACACGGATAGTTTGGGCTAGTTTTGGGCTAGTTTTGAGTAGCAATTGGGCAGGTTTTTTTTATGAAAACCTGGCAACCCTTTCCCTCAAGCAGGTAACGTTATTATTGCCAACATAGCGGACTCGTCGAAAAATACATTGACATCATCTGTATTAAAGAGAAAATAATCACTTCATCCGATGTTTAAGTGAATAAAATAGCCTTGACAGCCTTACTTACTGGAGTTCCACAACTATTGGCTTTGTTCTCTCTCACCGGACTCGTGTGTGTGTAGGTGATGTAAAAGAGGAAAGCAGGCATTTGAACCAAAGCACTGTGAGGCAAGGGAGGGGGAGACTCAAAATGTTTCTAAACTTAAAACTAGGGCTGTCAGTCGATTAAAATGTTTAATCTAATTGATCACACCCTTTTTCTGTGATTAATCGCAAATAATTGCACACTTCATGAAATTAAGCATAGACCATTTATCTTGTTTCAAATGTTTATTTTGTCATAATTTGCTATATCCAGCAAAGTAAACCAGAAGATTGAAGGGTGATTCTTAAAAATCTGTATTTTCTGCAAGTTTTTTCATGATAAATTTAGATGTCTTTCCAAAAAAGGACACTTAGAAACTCCAAAAGGACACCAACGAACCAAATGATATGAGCCAATATAAGCACATATGAAAGAAAATAAATCTGAATTTTATAGTATGTGTATAGTGCAACAGCAAAGAGCTTTTTTACATTTTAGAGAAGTCAAGTCTGGTCTTGTACTGAACAAGACCACATGGTGATGCCAAAAAAAAAACTAAACCAACCACCTGCTGACTGCATTTATCTACTACAGTACACGGATCCATTCAGAATAACTAAATACAGCAACATACACATGACAAATCAAAACATTATTGTGAATGTGTGTGGAAACAACGTGAATGTACGAAAAAAACCCTAAACCAACCGCCTGCTGACAGCATATATCTACTACAGTACATGGATCCATTCAGTATAACTAAACACAGCAAATCAAAATATTATCTTGAATGTGTGTGGAAACAACGTGAATGTACGGAAATGTCTGTGCCTGTGCATAAATACAATGTGCGATCAGTGCGTCCAGAGCACTCATACACGCATTATTATAACGGACTCACGCGTGCTTACTGTACGACTCTTGTACGCCACCGCAATCGCCTTAACCTTAATTGCAGTCTTCATCCATCAGAACTTTACTAGCGAGACTGGTTATCCAGTCGAGAAAACGTAATTTGTGTCTCATCTGGCCATACAGCGGTGGGATGTGTTGACAATCCGTTCAGTCTGTACTTCACAGTGCGACGTGTGAGGGCTCGCGCTCTTCAGAGACGATCACAGAATATGACCGAGCTCGTGTTTTAAAGCGAAACACACTGGAATGAATAATTCACTGAAAACGCAACGCGAGTCTCTGTTCTCTCTGCAATCTCTGATGTAATCAGCCTGGTTTCCTTTATATTAGCGCTTTTGGACGGATTGTTTGAATGCATTCGCTTACTGGATCATAGGACTGAAAACTTTCCCGGAGTATTCACCAAACTTAGGTGTGATTTCTTTTGTTTGTTCTTTTGTTCTATTTATTGCAAAATATTTACTAAATACATTAAACAA